GCTCGATTGGCCGTGGCCATTACCAGTCCTGTGCAACCTGACCTGACCTGACCTGACTGACTGACTGACTGACCTTGAGGCGCGCGCAAATTGCTCGTCGTGCTACAGCGTTTTCCCGTGGAATGGCCGGAGACAACGAGAATGAGCAGAATGGCCTTTCAGCCGCTAGCTTTTGGGAATATCGAGGCCATCAAAAGACAGTGAAACGTGTTGAAGCAGCCAATAAACTCTGTAGTGAGCTGTCACTCATGATACACGAACGTGCGGAGCTTGAGCGTATGTATGCCGCTAACCTGAAGCGATGGACCGCTCGGTGGCTAAACTTTCTGGACTCTGGTTTAGTCTATGGTTCTAGTATGTCTCCATGGAAAGGACTATGCCAAGAAGCTGAAGCTATCTCCAACGCTCATCAGGTTAGTGAATTAATTCACTGCATTCCTTAATTAGTTTGTGGTGATCGCATTTTAAACATTAGAGTGATGTTTATTGAGGATTCGGTTTCCGTAGAGCGATTTCACCATTGGATCGACGCCGTATTGATTACTTGCTTAAATTTACTAATTCAAATGCCTTGGAGCTTACATGAAAAGTTTTCTGTGCTGCTTGAACTTAACCACATGAAATGATCCAGGTTCATATTGTTTAGTTCGATGTATGAAGTAGGAAAGTGCGACGCAGAAAAAATAATAAAGTTCAAATGAATTTATCTAGCTCTGGCACATGTTGGATGCCTCCCCAAACAAATCCTCCGTTGTTCTCTCTGGCCATGTAACATACATAGCATATAACACTTGGGGGAATTTATCGGATTCAGTTTGGTTGCGAATCAAAACGGAAATAACCAAAAATAAGCATTTACCCAAGTGCGCGTCCGATACCATTGGAATCTGTAAACGCTTCTATGGTGTCCGCTTGGTGACAGTTGCTCATTACAACATGTAGTAAAGTAACCTTTTAAGAGGTTGTGGCTCCAACACCTGTGTTGTGTAACACTTAACTGGTCTAAATTCATATTACCAAACAAATCATTTTTTGAGGATATTCATAATCGTAATATGCTCGTGGGTGGGTTTTTATTATATTTCACACTTGTCTGAGGACAGACTCTGTGCCAAGAAAATCATGGTACAATAATCTTTATAGAAAAGAAAGTGTACCATGGTTGGCTTGTGGGCTGAATACTGTCAGGTTGCCCAGGCCAAGGCAGGTGAATTTTCTGGAGGAATTCATAACCGTAGCCCAGTTCCTCGGATCATACGCCCTTCGGACGGAGTCAGATGTCCAAGGTGCCCAATACGCCTCAATGCCCAATCGAGCCGGTGACTACTGCCACAACCGGAAAGGTGTGGGTGTGGTTCGTACGCCTCTTGGTTGGTTTGGAATCAGGGTTTTTATCCAACTCCCCTAGGTGAACTACCAGCGGTCCACCAAACCGGTTATAGCCCCGGATATCGGCTTTTCGTCCTCTCACATTGGTGGGAAAACACCGCCACGAGAGGGCAGTGAGTACAGCCTCATCAGCAGAGGCTGTTTGAGACGCTTGGTCGTATGGGAGCACTTCATGAGGTGTAAGGGTATGGTGACCAACCGCAATCCTAGACACCCACCCCCGACCATACTGAGGCTTTCGGAGGCTGTGGGTGGGGTACTGTCAGGTTAATGTTCTTGAGGGTTGTACAACCGGTAACTTCGGTTAATCAAAGCCTAACATACCAGGCAGCGGGCGGTTTGTAGAAACCGCGATTCATTGGGCACCAGTATCCATTTCATCAGACCAGACATCCCCCTTCTTGAAAATTGTATCATTGTGTATTCAATAAAAGGTAGTAAAAATGAAAAAAAGAATGATGACGATTGTCAAAACCAAAAATGGGTAGGCACGATTCGTACATCTTTTCTCGGTTCCCTTGGTACCAGCGCTTCTGAGTTAGCTGCATTACCATGTTTTCATATCGGGTATAGTTGATGCACTCCACGAACACGGATATCCTGGTCGCCACTCAGCCTACTAGTGGGTCTCTTCGCACCCATCTGCAACCGGTATGGTGATCGTTCCCATATTCTAATATAATTCTCAGTCCCATTCTTCTATTTTCAAAACTTCACTCGGCTCATTGTACCATCGCGTTTTTTGGCGCACCCTCTTTATCGCCCCTTCCACAAACACCATTACCTCAGCTTTTTCACTTAAATAAAGTACCTTGGCGCCAATTGCGCAATCGAAAGGAAAGCACGGAAATTTTTTTAAAGGCACTGATCGATTTTGTCTCACCTATCAGATCTGAACCTCCCACTTTGTGTAAGCCTAAACTTAAAGACAACCTGTGCTTTGCCTAACCGACTGTCCTGTGGAATTGAGCCTCTCAGTTTCAGAGGATGGAACGTGCTTTCTGAAACACAGTGATTAACTATTCTTGTTGAGATAATCCCACAGGGCACATTTCAAACAAAACAACAGAGTGGCGAACAAGCTCGTTTTCAGAGATTCGTATTCATGCCAATACATCTCAATATATATCACTACTTGGGAATAGAATTGTCATGGGAGAATAAAATAAAATAAAAACAGATTACTAAAACCGATTTCATCGTGAGACCGGAAATCGGGTTCACCACGATCACATGTTTGTTTGTC